GGCCGCGGCCGCCGCGCAGCCCCCGCTCCCGGGCCCGCTCCATCGGGCCGGCGCCTTCGGCTACAGCGCCCGGCGCATGGCGGCGCGCCACGGCTCCCTCCCGCCCCTCTCCTGGCCGGATCCTCCGCGACCGCAGGGATCGCGCCCGCCCCGCCGCCCTGGAGCTGGCTCCTGGAGGACACCTCTTCGGCCGTCAGCCTCCAGAGAGGACCCGAGACCCGGGTGGGTTTGGTCAGGAGCTCGCGGGGCCGCGCCTCCTGTGGGCGCGTCCCCCTCCCGGGCTCACCTCGGACCAGAGCCGGCCAGTACGCGCCCTGGGACTTCCCCCGGGCCGGGCGGCGGGTCCTCGTCTGCGCGCGGTCCCGGCCTCTTCCCGGCCCGGCGGGTGTCGGGCTCCCGGGCCTAGCGGGGGCCGCGGACCACCGGACACCAATGCCTTCCCGTCGCCCGCTCCGCGCTCCCCGCGCTCTGGCTGCGGCTCCGGCTCCGCGCGGGCTCGGGCGGGCGGGGGAGGGAGAGCGGGGGAAGGAGGGCAGGCGGGAGGGAGGCAGAGCCGGGGGAGGAGCGCGGCCGCGGCGAGGGGAGGGAGCGCGGCAGGGCCCGCATAGCCGGGGCGCCCCACCGGGGACCCTCCGCGAAGGCCTCCCCTAAACGTTCCTCAGAACTGGAGCTCCAGGGGGTTCAGCTCACCATCCTCGGGACTGTTACTTCGGACATTAGGCCCGCGGCGGGAGCGCTTCTGTTTTACAGGTGCGGGGACTGAAGGGATCGAGCAGCCCCGGAGCGTCGTTGTCGCCTTCCCCCCACCCCCTTCCTGTCCCCTCCGTCAGTTCTGATCGAGACAGAGGTGTGACATGAGTAAGGGCCGTTCCCCTGTCTGCGCCTCGATTTTTCGCATGTCAAATAGGAAGGAAACCCCCAGCAGAACCGCTGCAGAGGACCAAGTTATGGGTCCCCTCCGCACAGCCTAGGGCGCTGCGCTAACCCTGGGGCGCGCGCTCTGGTCCTAGAACTTCTTGCAGGCCCCTCGGGGGTCCTAGGGAGTCCCCAGCTATGGACTATGGGTATGGCCTGGTCAGTGCTGTCCACCTAGGGATCTCTCCGCCTCCCTAGGTGTGAAGGGGAGAAGATTTGATTAGCCCCTGCCTTGGATGAGGACAGCGGGAGCCCTACCTGGGGGCAGAGCCATTGGCGGACCCTTCACCCGGGCCCCCACAGGACCCTTGTCTCCTTTCTCAAGCCCAGGGGAGGAGGGTAAGAGGGGTGGGCAGGTACGGAACCTACTCGGAACACTATTCAGCTGCGTTTTTGAAGTTGGATTTAACTGGGAAATGTGACTGAGCTGGGGTGCCTTGCTTTTTCTCTGCCTTATTTTCTCATTTTAACATCAAAAACTGTTCCTGGAGGGCAGATTCATGATCCTCCCCTTCTAGGAGGCTAAGATCAATATGGAAGCTCCCACTGTCTAGATAGGAGCAGTCGGGGGGGGGGGGGCAAGGGCTCCTGGGGCCATTTCACGCGTTTCCATACAGCACAGGCCTCGGCCATATCTGCTGAATGAATCAGGTGAAGTGACTCTAGTCTCCAGTTTTAGTTGAAGAATTTAGGCTCCTTGGGTCCTTCCTGCTCTCTTTTGCATCCTCTCTTCATTCAGCAACTGGGATCAGCTTATAAAAATGGAGGAGGTGGAGGAAGGAAGAGGGAGAAGGATTTACATTTAAAGGAGGATCAAGTTCTGTTGATGAGATGAGGGGCTGACAGACTAATTTCAGGTATTAGTGGGTTGACAGGAAGGGTGTGACCTCCCCCCAACACCCTCCCTCATCAGGGTGATTCCTCATGCCCTGGCCAAAGACAGTCTGCTCCTCTCTCCTCCACCCACAAATACGCTTCTTTTTATTTTTTCTTTAATTTAAAAAAAAACTTTTTTTTTTTTTGCAGGGAAGAGGTAGTTAGGTTTATTTATTTATTTGATTTATCAGTGGATGATTGAACCCAGGACCTCAGGCATGCTAGGCATGTGCTTTACCACATGAGCTATACCCTCCCCCCTCACAAACATGCTTCTGATGCAGCCCAGAAGACCCCACCCCATTAAAAGACTTCATTACAATTTTAGAGAAGAAAATAGATGAGCAAAGGGATAAAATGAAGTTGCCTTAATCTCATCAGTGAGGACAACTGATGATTTTCATACTGTTTTATAACTAGGTTTTAGTTTACTTTTTGCTGTCAAACTTTCAGCTTGTTATTCTGCTTTAGAACTTTGTAACTATATTTTCTGTGCATGCTTTTCTGCTTCCTTAGCTGGTATCCCTAGAAATGGAATCCATGGCACAAACTGTCCACTTTGTATCAATGCCCACACAACACTCTGCCAAGCAGCCCTCTAGGTTACTGGGGCTCCAATGGTGGCTACTTCTCCCCTCTTTCTCATCCTATTGCTGGGCACTAGGTTTAAAAAGGCTTGTCTCTGCCCCCCGCCACCCCCCTAGGACTGTGGACACTTTCCAGGTAGGATGACCTATGGGCCCAGAACAAGTCTTCCAATGCTCTCCTCTTGGTTACAACCCCTTCCTGGGCCCTTCTCTTGCTCCCACTGTCCTGGCATCATTGAGTGTTCTGCTCAACTTACACCCCAAGTTGACTGCAATCAGGATATATATCTATATCTCTATTTATCCAATAAAGGAGCTATATTCCAGTCCATCCTGCACCTGGGGACTACTGTCCTATTGTCCAACCTCCAGCTCCTCCCCACACCCATGGCTTCCTCCCCATCTCAGTTGGTTCAATGGTCAGCAAGGAACCATAGATGCCCACATCTAGCAGGTCCACACCAGGCACTCAGTGCCCTCTCCATGTGAGCACACAGCCTTGGAGGGAAGGGGTGCAGGAAAAGGCAAATGTAAAGACAGAACACAGCCATTCAGCTGACATTGCCCCCCAGGTGCCAAGCTATGTGCTGGGTAAGGGGATCTAGAGATGGAGCAGTGCAGCTGAGGAGGGACCCCTTTGCCCAGGCTGCCCTCCCTGGACTCTGGGGTCTCTCTCCATAGCAAGGCACCAGAGCACCTGCCCCTCATCTCCACTGCCCTCCACCACCAAGCCTGTGTCACCAAAAATCATCTATTGATCCAGGCTTAAAATAACCCCTGGCATCTGCAGCGAACCCCACGGGGCAGGCAGAGGAGCTGTGTCTCTGCTCCTGAAGGGCACCTGCCCCACCCCCAGCTCCAAAAGCCGGCAGCTGGAGTGTGCCTGTGTCTGAGTGTGCTCACGGTGTGAGTGAGTGTGCGTATCTGGGCTGGTGTGACTGTGAGGGCCTTTCCCGCACGTGGGCATGTGTGTATCTGTGTGTTGGTGTGGATGCACCTGTGCAAACGTGTTCTTCCCTCACTGTTGAGTCCTCACCTGGTGCCTGGATAAGACTCAGGGTCCTGGGAGGTCATGGACATTAAAGAAGCCTGACCTGGGCTTCAGTGTCTGTGTTTTAGGTGGTAACTCACCAGTTTGCCCAGCCCTCCTAGAGAGAAACCCAAGACCCAGAGAGGGGAAGTGATTTGCTGTGACTGGCACACAGCCTGGAAGGGCCAGAGTCTGGCCAGGAACCTACACTGTGAACCTACTTTCTGGACAGTTCAGTACAGAGAGAGCACCTGGAGGACCCCAGCCTAGAGGCCAGGGAAGTGTTCCTACCCACTGACAGCACACCCAGTGCCTGACTAATGCCTGACGTGCCAACTCCTCCATGAGCCCCCAGGTCTTCCCACAGGCTGGTCTCTCTTCCAGGAAAGTCTTTCCAGCCCCTCCCAGTGTGAGCTCCTATTCATTCTTCATGTTGAAGCCAGACTAATGTGGGTTGGAATTCCTGCTCTAAAAAGGCCAATCAACCTTTCCAGGCCTTAGTTTTCTCATCCATAAAATGGGCTGCTAGCTCCTCTTTAGTAGGGCTGCAGGGAGAAGCCAGCGCAGCTCTGACTGAGAAACATCCAGGAACATGCAGCCTCGTGGGAGTCCCTACCACAGCGGTGCTAAGATGGTGATTGGCACCGTGGGTGCCATCCACAAGCCTCAAAGTCCTCATTTCCAAGCCCATTTCGCTTCCATTTCCTCCATGGTGGAGGGTTACCCAAGAAACAGAGATTCTAGGGGACTATAGGCTCCCTGTTAGTGCAGATGCCATCTAAGTACCGGGAGGGGTCTGGAGGGAAGGGCCCGCAGCTCCTTTGTCTCCCTAAGAGGCAGCTCGTGACTCAGGCTCCAGCTGCCTGTGGGAGGGAGGGGGCGCTGGGACTCCTGAGGTCGTGAGGAAGAGGCGGTTAGGAGTGGTAGGGCTGCGAGCTGGGACTCAGCTTCCCTTCTCAGTTCCTCATGCACCCAGTGAAGGTACAAATCCGGAGCTGCCCACCAGGACTGTAGCGCGGGAACAGACCCAGAGAGGACAGTACTCGGCGGAGGCCACACAGCGGGTCCGTCCAGGACAGGCGCGCCCTGTCCCGCCAGCCTGCCGGTTCTTGGGACACAACTCCGAGGTCAGCTCCGAGTCCGGAGCCGGAGAGTGGGGGCGGTGAGGGGAAGGCCAGCTCTCCCCAAAGTCCGGGCCATGCCCGGCACTTGAACCCCTCCTGGTTCGGGCCGCGCGTGAGGACGGGGACCCCGTGTGAGGTCCAGAGTTTGGAGGGTCTACAGTTGTTCTTAGTGCCGCCGCTTGTCTGTTGCGTCCCTTTTTCGTTGTGGGTGGGCCTTGAACCCATCCCTCTACTTGCTCTTGGCCCCGCCCCTTTCCTGCTGCCTTGTAGCCTCAGGATCCTGAGCCCCACCTCTCTCCTTCACCCCGCCCTTTGCCGCGCCCCTCGCCCTGGCCCCACCCTCTCCGTCCCGGAGACCCGCCTTCCGGCGCCTGTAGGCTGGCAGTGGAGGTGCCACAGTTCCCCCTGACCGCAGGAGCTGCCGAGATAGACTTTCACCTGCCCTGAGTAGCTGTCAGCGTCCTGGATCCAGGCAGGACGCCCGGGGCTGGTCCTCAGATTCTCTGCAGCTGAGGGGAGTGAGGAGATGCTCAGAAGCCCGTTCGGTCCCTGGACTCCTGAGTACACCTCCCGCCTCACACCAGGGCAGCTTCCCCGCCCCACAGACTCCCTGAAAAGAGCATTGGCCCGGCTCATGGTCGTCTGCGTCCTCCTGGCTCCTCCTTGACTCTCAGTGTGACCCTGGGCAGTTGTCCGTACCTCCGCAGCCCCGCCCCCTTCCCCACCCCCAGATCAGGACCCTCAGGCACAGATTGGAGAGAGGTCAGATTTAGGTTCTGAGTGAGGGAAAATTTGGCCTAAGCCACCTACAACAGAGCACATGGGAGTGGGCTCCCACCCTCGTGCCCAGAGGAAGGTCAGAGGGGTCTGGTGGCTTCTCAGAGGTGACAGGGAAGGGTGGGACCAAATAGTGGAGCTGGAGGATCACCGGGTTCCCTGAGGTGGGTGCTCCTGTGTGCCATGGGGCAGGAATGGCCACAGGGAGGGTTCTGACACAGCCTCACCTGGCACACAGGGGGCATGTTGCCCAATCTTCCAGCCACCCACCTCCTGCCCCCTCTTCTCTGCACCTGTGCACACAGTTCCCAGGACCAGGAATGCCCTTTCTCTGCTCCATTCCAAAAGGAAAACTCCGAAGACCTCAGGGGAAACCTCCTACTCTTCAAAGCACTCCCTGGAAGCTAAATTAGTCACCCTCCTGCTTGGGGCATTCCCTGGTCACCCTCATTTGTGTCCCAGTCTGTCTCTCCCACTGGACTAGGAACTAATGGCAGGGCCTGAGGCTGACCTCCTGGCACGGACCAAAATGGCCCTGAGGCAAAGCAGGCCTACCAAAATCTGGTGTGACGATGGGGCAGTAAATGAATGATTGATGGGGGACTCCTGAGACGCCTCAGGTCTGCTCTGGGAAACTCATTTCCTAGGGGGAATTTCTGAGGGTTGGGGACTTTGGGCAGAAAGTGTCTGCATCCCAGGAAAGGGAGGAGGTCGAGGTACTCCTGAGGGGGACACTGTACTTGCTGCACGATCTCTTTAATCTTGGACAGCTGGTTGGCCCTCAGGCTACATTTTGAATATGGGAGACAGGCCTGAAGAGATGCCAGCAGCTTTTAAAGGTAAGGGCTGTGTGCGGCCATCCTCACTGAGACACAGGGAGGTTAGGGGTCAGGTCCTTCCTGCCTGGTCTCACCAGCTGGGCTTCCCAACCCCCACCTTGAGCCTGAAGCTGGGGCTGCCAGGCAGGAAGTGAAAGGTGCCTGCAGGAAGCCCAGGAGGAACTGAGACTTCAGCTGGCCCCGCCCCCACTTGCCAGGGCCCTGGGGATGTCGGGGAAACCTGACCCCCTATTAGGAAAAATGAGCCAAAAACAGGCTATGGGGAGGGGGGCTACTTACCTTGCTTCCCATCCCAACAAGTAGTTCTTCCAGTATATCTTGGATACCTCTCACTCCAAAAAGAGACCAGTTGGGAGGAAAATCTTCGAGTAGTGAAAAAACAAGGAGTAAAGCCTGGAATCAATGTCTGGAGTTGGCCACTCTTGAGGGAGCATCACTGCTTATTGTATCTTGGGCCAGATCCCTTTACCTCTCTGGGCCTCTTCTTTTCCTATCTGCAGAATGGGCCATATAATAATCCCTGATTATGGACATGAACC